GATAAAAACTATCTTTTTAAGTTCATTCACACAACAAAAACAATCTGGGTATCTTTATTGTGTTTCATTTAGTATTTCAAAACACCAAATAAACCATCATTTAGTCGCTGTGGCCAAACAGCTTCATCTTTGTCTTTTCTGAACATAAAGTTTTCTATTAAAAGTTTTTTGCTGGTTCTTGCGGGAATATGCACATTTCAAGGTGCTAAATTACCATTTGACAGTTTTGGTCAAATGGTTGAATCTCTGAGACCGTCTGGTGTTTCAACAGGATGATGGATTATAGAAGATTTTAATAATCGGTTTTGAGGGCTTGCATTAGGTATCCCCAAAGCCCTGACCTCAGCCCTATTAAATGTTTACACATTATGAATAAAAACCAGATCAATGTCATGAAGTTAATCAAACAAAATAAGTCACTTCTGCTTAGAAAAATTGGCACATTTTGGATCTTGGACCTGGAACCTCCTCCAAGCAACAAGTTTCATTCCAACTCTCTTGGAAACATTCAGCCAAATAACCACAAGGTTAGATAGACAGTATGTATTTGAGCTTTTGTGTACAATTTTGAGATTGTGTGTGTAATTAAAATGTATAATGGTTCAAATACATGCGGAAAACTTCAAATTAAGATTAGATTAGGACTGTGTACTCTGTACATGCACATTTTAACAAATGTGATTGTACAAGTAACACTGTATTTTGTGCAATGTATTGTCTAGAGCTGGAGGATCCATTACCATAAATCTTGATCATTGTGTGACAGCATATCTTATATCCATGGATGTAATGGAGACGGAGGAGAAACTGTGGCTGCTCATACTAATCAACGTTCACTCTGGTTTATTTGTGAATACACAAAGAACTACATTAGCCAAATAAATTGTTTGGCTTCTACCGAGAGGGTTGGCTGCCTTCAGGTGTATTTCAAGGAAAGTAGGATGAGTGATTCAGCAATGGTTACTTTAAACTCCCATTCCAACCCCGACTGTTGGATCATCATTAGGAGGCTTAACAGCTGTCTTGTAGCAGATGTGCCCTGTTGCTTAGGCACGTTCCCCGTCCCTGGAGGGGAAAGGTCAAGACACTGGGTGGAGGTTGGAGCAAATATTCTTCTAAAAAAGCTGCATGTTGATGCTTTTAGAGAATTAAACAAATGAGCATCTGCCTTCCCAGTGTCGTAGGACAATAATTTGGAATGGAGATTAGTGTGAGCGTTATTTTTGCGTTTGCAATTTATTCTTTTAATAGATTTTCTTCTCTACAGTTGAAGGCAGATCTTCACGTGAATGGCATAAAATGCACATCACCCTTTTTTTTTCTTTCTTCTAACTGTTCCGTTAAAAGTCTGAGGCTTACCAAAATCATTTTGATTTACTGAAAGTCAGGTTTGAGAGTGAGACAACGAGAATCTTAAGATGTCTTAAGAGTTTGTTTTGGTGTGAAATATGCACATTTAATATTGAATATGGTCCTATTCACATTGAACCAATGTGAGGAAGAAGCCATTACTTCAAAAGCAATATTAAATGCTAATTTGACGTCAAGATGCATGCATTCAGGGCTAAAGACTGACACTGTTGTCCCATGGCCTGAGGAAATAAAAACTGAGTGTTTGACCACAAGGACTATGGTCACACTCAAAGTGTGTGGTTGTTTTGCTGCAGGAGGGACTGGTGCACTTTACAAATTTAGAGGGCATCATTAGGAAGGCAAACTATGTGGAAATATTGAAGCAACATCACACAGACATCCTCCAGAAAGTTAAAGATTGGACACAAATGTGATTTCCAAATGTACAATGGCCCAAAATATACAGCTAAATTATAAAGTGACTATGGAACAACAAAATCATTATTTTGGAATGGCCAATAGAGGAGTTCTATAGAAACATGTGCATATGTGAGACAGTTATACCTTTTCTTTAAGGAGGAACTGACTAAGATGAAAGCCAATTCTCAAAAGCCTGTGGAAGAATACCTGAAATATCTGACACCTTCCATGGTTCAAAGGTTAATATGCTAAATACTGAGAATATATTCTTTATTTTGAAGCAATTTTTAAAAATCTGTGAAATTGGTGAGCCCAGCTGACCTAAAATAGGAACATTTTAATATGATCATTTCAAACTGAAAAAAAAATAATGTATTACTTTTTTATGTATCAACAAAGCGTAAGTTTGCCTGTTAAATTTAGCATCTTCTTGGAAATATTGAAAATAGTGGTCAATGGATTTTAACAGGCCCCCCTGGTGGGACAGAATAGCGAGGGGACGTGCCCTGGCCACGGGCGCGTGGCGGAGGAGCAGGTGGATGACGGGCAGCTGAGACGTGGGCTCCGAGGGGGAGGAGGGGATCTCCATTTTGGAGGACTCTTGGGGTTGAGAGAAGCCCTGAAAAAAAGGCAACCCCATCTGGAACTGAGGTGGGGGCTCTGGTGTGAAAGAGATCTAGTGGGTGGTGTCTGACACTCACTCTTTTGTTCTTCAGCTACACAGCAGTGATGGTGATGGTGGTGGAGGTGGTGGGGCTCTCACTGCCGTGGGGGCTGGGCACTCGAACAATAGTGCCGATCCAGGATTTGAAAGCCTTCGATGAACAGAAAGGCAAGAAAGCAAGCGGGGAAGGTGTGGACAGAGAGAGAAGCAGGCGTTAGCTCTCCCTTGTTTTCAGCATGGCAATGATGCTTCAATCTCATTCAAAAACATAGCATGTCGTTTAAGGGAATTTATTATGAGACCATAGTGTATGACTGTGATTTTCTGGTGTGCATTGTATGTGCTCTACATATAGTATTCTTATTTTGCATAAATCAAGTATAAAAATTGTGCTGTAGATTATAGTTTTGCTGAATGTGAGAAGAAGATGAAGAAAGATGAGTTTAGATATTGTGATGGAAGCGTGCCTATGCTGGGAGGAGATCGAGAGTATGAGCTTCATTTATTTTCATCAGCTGCATCTGCGGGCCAGACTGTTAGCCCTGATGCAGCTCTGAGTGCTATTCCACACATAAACATATATCCCAGAGACGCCTGTCCTTGCTCAGCTCGATCCAAGCCTCTGTCATGCAAGGTTATCTTTTCTTTTTCTCCCCAACTGCTTACCCTCTTGTCATTTTTCACATCTCCCCTACACAATTCCCACCATTCATCAACCAAGTCACAAAGGACAGCTGAGTACCTGCAGCAGCTCTCCAGGGTGCTGAATAGGGCGACTGCGAGGTGCAGGAGTGAGGGGGTGGAAGGTTTGGGCTTCAGCACCGTAAGTGGCCACAGGATATTCCTCAGAGGACACATGGGGGTTTGGAGTGATTGCCAGGGAAGATTGAGACCTTCCATTACCATAAACTGACAAGGCCTCTATTAAAGGGAAGAATCACTGACAATATCTTTCCATATTTTCTCAAACAGGACAGAGAGAAAGCCTGTAAATGCACAAGCTCTGACATGCCTCCTGCACCCTTTACATGTATTTTTATTTTAATATCACTCATGCATTATTGAGCTACCCTGTAGGGTTTCTTGTCACTATGCATAACGGCACTGTATATCAAGTTTCTTTTTTTCTTTTTCTTGGAAGATGACTTCTGTAACCCATGGAGAATTTTGCAAACTAATTATTTCTACCTATTATTGATGAGACCAATTAATTTCCAATCGTGGTGAATAGCTCCATCTGTTGGCGGGGTCGTGGTATGATCACACTTTTATTAAATGTAGAAAAAATAACAACGAGGTGAGAAATGTATGACAGTTTTTGCATGCTGGTTTTACAGAATTTGATTGCGAATGGAACTAAAAATAAATAAATAAATAAATAAATAAATAAATAAAGCACAAGACTTAGTTAAATTACAGTAACCATCGAACACAGAATTTCGCTTCTCGTTTGATTCAACAATAAGTGAAAGTGCCAAAGTCACGTTTCCAGTGAGAGGGATTGGCTTGGAAACTTTATTTAGTTTACTTCCTATATTTTAAACAGAACTGAAACCAATGAAATCTAAAACTGCGAGGCGTAAGCGACATTGTCTGGTCGCATTAAACCGGTCGGGTGAGATTTGGGCGGGTGGGATGGATAAGGTAGCCGAGTACAGAAGCCGCTTGATAGTCAAGTTTCCGTAAAAACAACAATAAAACCGGATATGAGGAGAAGAAAGTAAGCTCGTCTTGACGAGGTCATAAAATATTAAAAGAAAAGTAAATAAAAACTTGCACAGTGCCTACAGATGCAGTTTGATCAAATTATTGTCCACCTGTACACTGATTTCCAAAAGAAATGAAAAAATAATTTTTCTCTGAAAAGAGAACTTAACATTACAATAATTTTTTTCTTCTTCACATCTTATGAGTACAGATTTAAAACATCTACATTGTCTCTGGTTGAGAAGTGACTCAGCACAAGGAATGAGACAGGTGTATGTTTCTTTCTGATGTATCTTGAAGTGCTGACTCCAATTTTGCCTCAAAATCCTTCCAAGTATACAGTCATTCCTGTTTCTTGTGCAAACCAAACCATTTTTCCTTCCATTCAACTTTCTATTGAAATTCTTCTGCTGAGCACTGACCAACAAGTCTAAGCTAGCTCATTGTTCAGGCCATATTTTTTGTATTTTGTGTGTATATATATATATATATATATATATATATATATATATATATATATATATATATATATATTTGACTTATGTAATATTTTCACTTTTCTTAAATGGCGAGTTTTGGGTTCTAATTTCATCACCAAAATGATCAGAAATAAATGTTGGGAACATAGCAATCCACTTGCATCTGATTTATACATGAGGTGTATTTTTAAATTAAATGATTTCAATAACTTAAGTAAAAAGATAATATCTTAGATAACGTTTAAACTGCATTGCTTCGGCGTCTATTCAAGATGTCAGCGTTCATAAACAAAAGTGGTATTTTATTTTGAAGGGAAACCGGATGTGGTATTAGTGTCATGAGTCAGCTTAGTGTCGTGAGTCACGGCCGCCTCGGCTCCCGGCCACTAGGAGGAACAAGGAGGGCTCCTTGTCTGGACCTGGTGTGGAGAAGGAAAGAGGTCCGCATCCCAACACAGGACGGGACAAACCCAAGCCGCCGCGGGAGGGGAACACTTTCACTTTGACTTTCGAAGACTTTCTTTACATGGAGGGCAAGAAATGACATCGTCAGCGTGCGAAAGGAGGGCGTTTGCTCATAAAATCAACCGGTGAGGCTGAAACAAGTTATTGTTTAACAGCGACAGTGAATATAAAGTGACCTGCTGGATCGAGTGTACACATAGCAACCATGCTAGGACTCGCAGTGTCTCACATAGTATCATCAGCTGAGCTTAAATATGTAACTTCCCTAATTCAATTTAAAAAAAACAATTTACTGGAGTGGTTGGCGCTCCCTAATACTTATTCAGGCTTTAACAACCTGTTTGACAGGCGTTATGGCAGCGCGGTAGCAGCGTTGTCAAGAGCCACTTCGGTGAAGCAGAGTTACTGTGCTGAAAGAGCTCCTCTGCTGCTGCTGTGTGTCAAATTGGGAGTATTATAAAGCTGTAAAACAGAGCAAAGTGCCGTGTTAAGTACAAATCTACCGTTTCTCGCTACACTTATTAACTGATCAAATTCCAGGAGGAAAAAAAGCTTCACAGCCATGTAAATGACAATTCATTTTTGTGTGCAAATGACTTATATTACACTCTCTGACTATGTACTTTAAACCTTATGCTTGTATTTGACCTGGATTCACAAGTATTTGCATTGTCTTAGTACATAAACCAGATAGTCCCTCCACATGTCAGAAAATAAACAAGAACATGGATTCTTATAGTTAAGTTCAGTCACTTCAACTACTTTAAGCTGCATACGACCGTGAATTCTAAAAGTTCATCATTGCATTGTTTGGATTGTTTCTCCTGTAGTAGGTCTAACACTATTGTTTTGTCCCGGATGCAGGAAAGGGTGGGAAGCCCGTTCTGGCTCTGCCTCTGCAGCCAGTAGCTTTCCTTTTTCCTGTTTTTAAATGGATTTGTCAATTGTCCATGGCTTAGAAATGACACAGAGCTGCTAAATAAAGTGTGAAACAAAAAGCCTTACACTTAAAAAAAAAACCAAAAAAGGAAAAGTTGAGATCCTGGTGTTAAGGGAGTGTTTTTTGTTTAGCTTTTAAATGTGAGAAGCAGACAGTTTGCACATCAAAAGCAGCAGCTGTTTGTTGTCCCTGAGAGTATTGGGCTTTTCTCCTGCTTTGTCTTTAAGCTGGCCATTTGCTGTAAGTTCTTAGCAGCCAGAAAGGAAGATCTGGCCCTGCGCCCGTTCCCGAGATACAACCCGTTGCTGCTCTGTGGGGTTTGAGTCATTATGTGCAACAGCTGCGATCCTTCAATTACAAATAGTTGACAGATGATGTCTCTGAAACCTTTATGCTTAACTATAGAGGAACAGATGAAAGTGTTACTTCTCTAAAAAGAGCTTAGATAAGGCAAGTGATGGAAAATGTCCTGTCAAGCATGCATATGATGACATTGTAATTCAGGCAAAATACAAATATGTATTCCTTGTTCACGTTCGCTAATGAAAGTTAAATTATTTTGCCTCCAGATAAGACAGGGCCAGGAGACAGCAGTATCTGATTTCCATAGTATCATAATAGATAAATGCAATAGATAATTTGACTTTGAAACATTGACTTTAACAGAAGTATAGAGTAACAATGTGGAATATTTGATGCGCTTAATGTGCAGAATGTTCTAGATTTTTGCTGTTCTGCTCTGTAAAGAGAACAATCAACTGATAGTTGAACTTGCCAGTTTTGAAACCCCAACTTTTTAAAATCTCGTTGTACCTCCCTATTATTAACTGAACCCTATTATCTCCAGATACCATATTCTTTTTCTTTCTTCCTAAAAAAAAGAGTTGTTTGTTGTTTTTTTTTTGCAGGACGATCGCAGCGGAGGTCAGAAAACAAGTGACCAGAGATTATGGCTCACCTCAGCTGTCTAAGAAACGAGGAGGAGCTCATCACCCTGTAAGTCAGCCTGTAATTTACATGTCAGTTTAACAGGCTGGCATTTTCAAACAACCTGTAAAACTGTTAGATATTTTTGTTTTTGAATTACATTTTACATGTAAATAAAGTAAAGATTGGGTCTGTGGGAAGTTTGTTTTGGGAATTATCTTTTGAATCTCAAGGATGCTTCTTTAGATTTCTGTGGATGCATAAGGAAAGTATTGCTTCTTAATTTTTGAAATCTTTACTGCTCAAAGATAGTTATCCTAATATAGCATTAGTTAAAAGGCCAGTAAGATTAATTTAAATGATTTAATTGCACAGACTAAATTCTGTTTACACAGACAGAACCTACACATTTCTGCACAAAAACAAGGCTTTGATCAAATAAAATGTTTTCAGTTTCTGGTCTAAAAGTATCCTCAAGCATTTATTCGGAGGAAACGTATCAGACAAACAATGTGTCCAGCTTATATTGCACGCAGGAACTGATTGTCTTTGTCTTTTGATGACTTTGTTTTGCTTCTTTGTCAGCTCATTCATACGCTCACACATCGATTTTGTGCTGCTACTGTATGCAAATAGTCCTTGTAGAGAGTCAAAACCTTCCTTCTTTTTTAGCATTTTTGGTCTTTGAAGTACTCCCAAAATTCTTGGATTATTAAAAATGTTTCTTACAAAGTATTTGTCCTTTTAAAGATTTTATCTGCTTTGATTTGAAGTCATTATTAAGTCTTTTAGATCGTCAAAGACGCTCTAATGTCATGTGAATTTATTCAGAGTAACTCCACAATCCTGTTTTTGAATATTTTATTTATTAAAGAAAAAAACTTTCTTGATTAGATATATTTTGAACTCCTAATGATTAAAATCAACATTTGAAAAGGACATTATTGTATTTACTGAGATTGTCTTATTTTAAAATTTGCTTGGTCTGAGAGATTTTTGACAAGAAAAAGCATAAAAGGAAGAACTCTATAAGGGGAAAATCCTTTTTTCACTGCGATGTATTTGTTTTTTCAAAACTCCGGCTTGAACAAAGTTGGCCAATGACTGGAGTCAATCTCTGCTGACGTAGGCTGTACACACACAGCACCTGCACAGCACAGCCAGAGGCTTCTCCTCACACACAGAACATCAGCAGAAAAAATAGCTGTTAAACATGCATTCATAAATATTATTCATGAATGGATTAGAATAGTTAACCAGTTGAGATTTCTTGTGATGGGTCTAAAAATATATAGGAATGATTTTTCTAGTTTTTTTTACATTTAATTGGGGAACAATATTATTACTAACTTATGTACATTTTAAGTTTAGTCAGAAATGTTCTAAACCTCCCCCCTAACAAGACAAGACAATCAAATGACAATTATTGTTTTGTCTTGATGTTTTGTCTTAGCGATGGTTAAGTAGTCATGGCCTGATGTTCTCTGACAGTTGCCTCTGACGGAGGTGGTTGAACCAGTGGACTTTGAAGAATATGTGAGCAGTCACGCTCCGGGGGTCGAGGCCGGCCCCCTCAGACAGCTGATGGAGTTTCCCCAGGACGACCTGGAGCTCCTTCCGCTGGACAAAGAGTGCACTACACTGGAGCCGCCTCTGCCTGAGGAGGAGGAGGAGTAAGTCAGAGGGTCTACTTCGACTTCACAGCTCATTATGTTATCTAGAAATCCTCTTCTGATCTGTACATCACTGCACTAGCAGCAGCATTGAGTACACTGTAATGGGAGACAGGCATTACTAGAGAGAAGAACAAAGCCTTTCTCTTTAACACTATGTGAACATAAATAATAAAGGCATGCATTGCTCAATTATTCAAGTGTTTTTCTGTGCAGCTCACTAGATCCCAGAGTGAGAGATGCCCTGGCTGTCTACACAGATGACTGGCTTGTCATACATAGAAAGTAAGTGTCAGTTTCATCGACTGCCGTCACGGCGCGCTATCACCGTTTCAAAGTTTTGATTTTCTCCTCCAGATTTCAGCACTACAGCACCATCTACACCCCTCAAAACTCTGAGCGCCAGAGAGAGAGGCAGCGAGGGCTGGTCAAACAGACCTTTGAACTGGACGAGGCTGCTGCGCACGATCGCCAGGACGACCAGGTAGTTGGCTGTGTTGAAAGCGTTTACTGTTTTAAACACTCAGATGCAATTTCAGTCAGTTTTAGTGTCATAAAGCGTTGCTGGAAGTTTAAAAGGAAGCTTTACTTCCTCTTACGCTTCCATCATCTCATCCCCTGACAAGGAAATTAACATGATAGTTTGCCATTATAAATGGCTTAGGGCAATGTAAGCTGTTTACATCTCAGCATCCATAATGGATAAGTGGCTCTAGCTGTTCCCTTATCAATTACTCATGCTTCTTAGAAATTCAAATATTTGGGTGACCTAGCAAGTAGAGTCTTTAGCATCACTGAGTTCCCCCTTCCCTCATCAGCTGTTCTGATGAGGGAAGGGGGAACTAATGTCCTCTCATGCCTGTGTGTTTCTCAGGATGACTCGAAGCGGAGGTCTGTTAGCCTCGATGAGACCCCCCGAGGCAGCTGGGCTTCCAGCATATTTGACCTGAAGAACTCCTCCCCGGATGTGTTGCTCCCGTCCGTGCTGGAGCGGACAGCTGCAGAGGATATGGACCGGAACAACACAGAGGCACGGTCTCAGGAGCGCCACAGTGACCTGCTGGGCCTCTACCCTCCCCCTGATGAGGTTTGTGTGAAAATAGCTAACATTTAGCTGAAAACTCAAGTATTAATCACCTATACATAATGTATTGTGTCTTATCAAGTACAAGGTCCATCTTTTTGGGATGTGTTCAACTCAGACAAAATGAATGCTTTTATTTGATGTACAAAATCAATTTGAGATGATAAATATCAGCTAGCAAGCCTTTTCTTTCCTCAATATTTCATTGTTTTTTTTTCCTTTTTCTCTCTTGATCCGTGTCTCTTTATGTCTGCGTACAGATCGCTGTTCGTCTGCCATGACATTACCATAACGTCTGTTTAAATGTTATCTTGGTCTGTGGATTTTTGTTTTTGTTCTTTTTGTGGCAGGATGAAGCAGTGGAGAGATGTCCTCTCCCAGAGGTGCCCAAAGAACACTGCGGCCAGAGGATTATGGTCAAGTGTTTGTCGCTAAAGTAAGAAACATAACGCCTCATGTTTATACCTCATTCTTTCTATGAGTGGCCAAATTAGATAAAAACTTCCTTAGTGTGATTTTTATGTGACAGTAAGTGCACGTAAAATTGTAATTTTTTCTCTTTTTTCTTTCAGATTTGAGATTGAAATTGAGCCAATATTTGGATCACTTGCTCTTTATGACGTTAAGGAAAAGAAAAAGGTAAATGTTTTTTTTTGTGAGATTTTCCACAGTCAATACAGCTGAGTAAGGCTACTTAGTAATTCTGAGCTCATGTTTGACTAATTGAGTTTCTCTTCGGTCTAAAAGGGTTAAGTGTGTTTTATTTTGTTAAGATCACTTGGGCAAAACTCAATTAAATTCCTCTGACGTAGATTTCCATTATAATCTCTCCATGCCCCATCCTTCCCTGTTCCCCATTTGTCTTTTCCCCCGACAGATCTCAGAGAATTTTTACTTCGACCTGAACTCGGATCAGATGAAAGGGCTGCTGAAACCTCACACACCTCACATAGTTATATCCACGCTGGCTCGTTCCGCAATTTTCTCCATCACATACCCTTCTCCAGATATCTTCTTGGTCATTAAGGTACAGAAAGTTCATTTCAATAAAATTAAAATGTCATAATTAGAGCAGCCCATGTATTTTTTGCACATTTAATAATAATTTTTGACAATCCAAAAATATTTGGATTATACCTCATGTCCACTGTGAAGCATGATGAGTGTCATGTATTAAGGATACTTTGCTGCAGCACAGCTATGGGTCAGATCATTATCATAAAATCCACTACCAGTTTTTCAAAGGATCTAATGATGCTTAAAGAAGCAAATATGTGACATGCAGAAGCAGAAATTAGTCCTGCAACATGACAGTGACCCAAAACCTACCAGGGAATTCACCAAGTAGTGGCTGAAAACTAAGAAATGAAGTAAAATGACCAATATAAAGGTCAGAAATGTTTATGAGATCAGGTGAAACTTCCCTCAGATCAATGTAAAAGACTAGTAGGTGGCAACAAGAATCATCTCACTGAAGTTATTTAAACTACAGGGCTACATACTGGCTATTAGAGATAAGGGCATTCTAAGCTTTTTTCTTTGACTCTACATTTTTTATATCAGTTGTTTAATTAGCAGAGCAAAGTAATTTTTTGTTGTATAAATACAGTGAATTTCTGTGCTTTGACATGTGTAAATATCCAAATAATACATTTTTAGAGAGGTGTCTTAAATTTTGTGGAAATGTGAAAAATAATAGTTCTTTTGTTAACAATCCTGCATATAAAATTTGTTTCAGCTTGAAAAAGTTCTTCAGCAGGGAGACATTGGTGAATGCTGTGAACCCTACATGGTCATGAAAGAGTCGGACTCCTCAAAGGTAACGGAGTCAAAGTGTGTCGCTGTTGCAATGTCTCGCATTAGATGTTATGAAAGTTGAGCCACAAATATTACTCAATTCCATCTGATTGATTTTGCAGTGTCCACTGTCATATTTAGTTTGCTAAATTTTTGGCTGATGCAGAAAGGTCTCGACAGTTCAGTGTCCTTTGAGCTGATTTTGATCTCTTGTTGCTCCACCGCAGCACAAGGAGAAGCTGGAGAAGCTCCGCCTCCAGGCAGAGCAGGCGTGCTCTCGTCTTGGACGTTTCCGCATGCCTTTTGCCTGGACAGCCATTCACCTCCTCAACATCGTCAGCAGCGTTGGCGGTCTCGATCGGTCTGACCCAGACTCTGACTCTGGTACTGAGTGCCCCTTCACCCCCAGTTCCACCTCTAATTCCCGCATGTGCACAATCTTTAGCATTCTACAAATATTTTAGGTATTTACATGTTTTGTAAATTACTTTTGGCAGAACGAAAGAGCCATGGGACCTGGAATGAGAGAAAGAAGAAGGGATTTGAGAGGATGAGTGTTGGGGAGGAGATGTGTAACTTTGCCACTTTCCGCCCAGCAACGCTCACCGTCACCAACTTCTTTAAACAGGTCAGAGTCAATGCAACTGGTAAAAACATACAGGCTGGCATTTAAATACACCACACATGAGCCCCAAATTAGTCACACCCATGGCAGATTTAAATTAATAATTATTTCCATTTTTTCTCTCTGTATGCTTACCAAGGAGGGGGATAGACTGAGTGATGAGGACCTCTACAAGTTTTTGGCAGACATGCGCCGGCCGTCCTCTGTTCTGCGACGGCTGAGGCCTGTCACTGGTAACTCTGATGTACTCTAATGTGCCAGTTTGCATGAAAAGATTTAAGAGAGTTTTTATTATTATTATGGTTATTGTTATTATTATTATTATTAATTTGATGTCTTGTTGTGCTTCGTGTGTTCCTCAGCTCAGTTGAAAATTGACATCTCTCCAGCACCAGACTCGCCACATTACTGCCTCTCACCAGAACTCCTTCACGTGAAACCTTATCCGGACCTGCGCGTCCGGCCCACCAAAGAGGTGCTGGAGTTCCCTGCTCGTAATGTGTACACGCCGCACACCACGTACAGGTGGGCGTTTACTATTAAAGTCGTGTGCAAGAGGTGGCTTGAACTCTTGTATTGAACAGGCACAAGTTCAGCCACTCATTGCACTGAGTGATTATTGATTGATTTGACTTTTTCATTTTTTTGGATGATTTTCTTTCTTTCTTTCTTTTTAAAGCCAAAAGTTTCACCCTATAAACTTAGAAAACTTAGAAAAATTCACAAAAGAAGAACCAGGATTTTTTAGGGTTTTAATATTTATTTACAAATGACAAAAAAATGTGTATAATTTAACTTTATTTTTAACTTAATTTTTATTTAAAAAGTTATTATAATATTCATATATAGGAATGATGGAGTGTAATAACAATGAGGAGTTGATGAATTTTTTCTTATTCAATGAACTGATGAGTCTTGAATGAGGTATGGTATAGTTTCACTCTGAAAGAAACACAGAAACAAACATTTTTAATTGAAATAAACAAATAAAATAAGTTCTGCATATGTAATGTGCTGAACCAGCAAGTTACCATCTTTTGCAGTTTGGAAAGCTGCTCATCCTGAGACTCAATATCCTTTTTCTGGATCTTGTTCCAGGTCTGTAAACCTTTCAAGATTTGGAGATGCGCCTCTGCTTTATTCTAAAGAAATGAAAAAAAAAAACAATACAGATGTTTAAATGTGATGAAAATAAGGAAATTAAATTTAATTTACAGTTTGGCAGTGAATGAGTTGAGTTTTCAGATTTACCTGCAGCTCCTTGAGGGTGTTTGGTGCAGTGTTGTTGATGTACATCTCCAGTTGGTGAACTTTTGCAATCAGTTCTTCCTCGTCCTTCTCTATGCTGTTCAGCCAGTCTTTTGTTAAATGGGTCTGAGCCTGTTGTTTTGCCATTTGTTCCTGTGAAAATAGGAATTTAGTCTTATTATTCTCTTTAACAGCAGTTTCTATATAAACTATTTTCACCTTACTAAGAGTCTAAATTAAATTTTTCTATAAGTCACTGGATAAAAAAGTTGCTTTACATTATTGAACTTTGCTTTAACTGTCTAACTCTTTTAGTCTTCCCTAGCTTCTGTATTCTATATCTACATAATCTGAACTGTAATCGTGCAACTATTCAACTTCACACATGGAATCCAGTGTTTACATTTTTCCCTGGTCCTACCTGCAGCAGCTGGACGACTACTTTTATCTGTTGCTCCACTTCTGCAGCCTGTTCAGTCTGCTGTCCCAGCCGTTGGAGGGTTTCTTCATGACTCTTCAGAGTCTTGCTGATTCTCTCGATCTTTGCCTCAGTTGTTTCAAAGACGTAGTTGAGCGACTCGCTCAGCTGTATGACTCCAAACATGAGCACATTGACTTCCTCCTGAGGCGCAGCCTTGCCCTCCATGCTGCCCGTCTTCCTGATGGGGCTGGCAAGAACCTCTCTTAAACCCCCAACTAAACACATGAGACACAGGCTCCAGATCATTTTCATAGGGGCTTTGTTTTTTCTAAAACCCACTTCCTACAAAATATTAACATGCACGTTAAATGACAAAAACTGTAAGAGGAGGATATGTATCTCCCTTTCATCCAGAATTTAATCATCTACAGCTGAATTTTCAGGCCTGCTGCTGCACCTTTTATAGGAACTGGTCACGCAGCACTGTAGTGAAACATTAGCTCGTCTGTGGTTCGATCCCAAGTTTAGTTTCACGGCCTTGATCTCGGTGACCTCTCAAAGTTTAACCACGGAGAGTCTAATTTTGTCATTTAGGTCATGCACTATTGCACCATGCATATAATGTATGGAAGAGATGTACTTGAAGCTACAAATGCAAATATTTGTAGCATTAAAATAAGTGCAGCGGCATTCCTTTTCTACTGTGGTTATCTTTCTCCTAATGCAATTTACATCAGATGTTTCAAAATATGAACAGTACTAACCTGTGTGTGTTTAACTTGGACAGAACTTGGTGACATAAGTGAGTGTACGGTCATGGGTCAAACGTCTCTCACGTACACACAGGACTCTCATTCTCTAAGAAAATCATACTTTCTGAATCTTGTAAAGAAGTTGCAGGTTGTAAAATGCCTTGTAGATATTTATGTTTGATGTCACATTGAAATCACAATATTTAATGTGTTTTATCAGAAGTTTAGAGTTAGGCTGAATGGGCTTGACAACATTATATTCACAGATGTTCCCAACCAAAGACTGAGCTGATCTGGACTAATAGACTTAAAGATGGAATTGTTGCAAAAGGTCCTGGTGCCAATGGTGTATTGACTCCAGTGGCATAAATACAAACAAAATGTACACCATTCTTTTAAGTTCTAAAACATAGAAAAATTATAAATCTTTTTACTTTCACTTCACAGTCATTCACTGCTTTGTGTTGGTTTGTCACAGAATCCCAATATGACAACCCGACGTTTATGATTGTAACATGACAAAATGTAAAACAAAAGTTCATTAGGTATGAATACCTTTTTAAGACACTCCATATGCTTTTCCTATTAACAACATAACAAAAGAAAATAACTTTATTTCACTTTTACCTTCATAGATTTGTTTCTGTATTAAATTGTTCTAGTGTCGTCTCCCTCTGCTTGTCCCTCCCGTCTCAGGAACCTGCTCTATGTGTACCCGCAAAGTCTGAACTTCAGCAGCCGCCAGGGCTCAGTCAGGAACATTGCCGTGAAAGTTCAGTTCATGGCAGGAGAAGATCCCAGCCAAGCTTTACCGGTGAGGCCCTTTCAAAGACGAACATAATTGTTGCATCCTAAAAAAATATATATTTGAAAAAAATTGCTCAAGGCAGAGATATCCACTTAAAACTAGTTTTTAGTTGGATGTCTAATTTATTGCCAACAAGAATATTGAATTATAATATAGAGTTTATTCTAGGTTCACTTGCTTGTTCTTTAAGTGGATCTTTGACGTGAGTGCAGCAGATTAAATAGCTTCTTTTATAAACCTGCATGCAACAATAGAGCAGGTTATTTAAAACGAGTGCTCTGTGTTAGAGGTTGAAAATGACCTTCACACTGGGCCTTTTTGACCAGGTCATCTTCGGAAAGTCAAGTTGTGCCGAGTTCATGAAAGAAGCATACACTCCCATCATCTATCATAACAAGTAAGGCTCTTTCGCTCTTTTACCTTCTCTCTGTTCAGCTATCTTGAACATTAACTCTTGCTCATAAGGTCCCCTGAGTTCTATGAGGAGATGAAGATGAAGATTCCTGCCAATTTGACAGACAACCATCATCTGCTGTTCACCTTCTACCACATCAGCTGCCAACCCAAGCAGAACACTCCTCTGGAGACCCCCGTGGGCTACACTGTGAGTGTGCTCTTGGCTCAGGTTTAACACTTTCACCCACATGTTAACTTGTTTGGCAGCTCTTTTTGTACTCTCGCCGTTTGGGAGAGATCACATGTCTTTCCGCCCGCAGTGGATACCTTTGATGCAGCACGGCCGACTGCGCACCGGCTTCTTCAATCTCCCTGTGTCTGTGGAAAAGCCTCCACCCAGCTACTCGGTGCTCACACCCGATGTGAGTGATGTACACGAGACTGTGTGGATATCAGTTCGTCTGCCAACAGCAATTCCTTTGTGATGTCACGGTGCGCTTTTAAATTAGTTGAATTTCAATGTGTGACAGGTTCAGCTTCCAGGCATGAAGTGGGTGGATAATCACAAAGGAGTTTTCAATGTCGAGGTGACAGCAACCTCCTCTGTTCACACTCAGGTACATAAAATGTTTATTTAACTGAGGGTTAAGCTTACCAGTTTGCTTTTCTCCCAGACTCATAAAATCTTTAATGTAGGGCTGAAATGATTAATCACCATGTATCAAATATTGAAATAATTGTCAGCTTGTTAATCAGTTGACTGAAGTATACAGACTCAAAAAAAACTGCTATTTGGTGAAAGAACATACTCAGAGCAGTAACTAAGTTAAAACTAGAAAATATAAGTACATTTTCCACTTAAGATAAAGAAATAAACTTTTTCTGAAATATGTTCTACCCAGACCTGCTAGTAGCCTAATTTTAGCGTTCTGTGGTTCAAATTTGAAGAAAAAAAAAAATAAACCTCTAAGAATCTTTTGCTAACCAATTATTAATTGGGTAAACCAAAAAATGCAAAAATTCTTCAGGAAAGTGTGTTTAGGGCTACGAACGCCTGCAATTTGATTCTTCAGGAAAGTGTGTTATATGGATTTAAAAAGACAAAATGTTGCCTTAACAGTCTGCTTGATTTCTGTGTTTGTTCTAACAAACATAAATCTGTGTTTGATTGGTTCTCCATTTCAGGACCCATACTTGGACAAGTTCTTTACTCTGGTGTATGTTCTCGAGGAGTACTCCTTCCCGTTCCGACTGAAGGATGTGATTATTACCGAAGCAAACATGGAAGGCGAGCTGAAGGCCAGCATCTCAGCGCTGAGAGGGTCTCATTGTTGTTTGCATCAGCTGCTCAACAAGCTCATTCAGCTAATCGTGTACCCGCCAGTCATTGCAGGCCAAATTGGTGAGTGTTTTTTTTTAATGAGTTCTTATTCAGGAGAGCTGATGTAATATTTGTTAAAAGGGTAAACTTGTGGATTATGTGTCATTTAATTCTGCTTGCTTCCTAGAACCATTGTTCTGTGCTCTGTAGTGTTTTAAATTGGTGTTAGTCAATAGTATTGATTATCTTTAAAACAGATCTTCCTTTTTTTGAAGATTTTAAAAGTTTTTCTTAAAACTTTAAACAGTTTTTTCACTTTTTTAATGTCCAGTCACTATACTCACCACGACAGCAAGACAAACTCTCACTTAAAATCAGTATAGATTTGGCTGTCATTTGCTATGTTAATGTTTGCTACATTTAAAACCTCTTTTATTAAATCAATCTCTGTTTTTGTTAAAAATAGAGTTCAACATTTTCAACTTTTATTATATATTAAATTTTCACAGGAAATTTAGGGGACAGACAGTAAAATTTCCAGTTTAAAATGAATATATTGTTATTACTTACTGAATTGTATGTTATGTTTTAACAAATAAACTGGTTGATCTATTGAGTTTAAGAACATTTGATGACTATGATTTGTGTTTCAGCGTTATGTGTCTCAGACTCAAAAAAGAACATATTTTTCCTTAAAGAATAATAAAAATCTTTTAAATCAAAGTCCTGGTTCTTGTTGTCATTTATACCTGTGTTTTAATTAGCTTTTCTTTTCTTTTTTGATCTGTAGTGAACCTCGGCCGGACTGCTTTTGAAGCTATGGCACTGTTGGTTAACCAGATCCACAAAAACCTGGAGGGAAACCAAGACCAGCACGGTCGCAACAACCTGCTGGCGTCCTACGTCCATTACGTTTTCCGCCTGCCGACTGCTGAACCTGTCATGCCTCCAGCAGGTGAAAGACCAGTCAGAACTGACTGTTTATAAGACTTTGCAAAAGCCCTTTCAGCCATTTCTATGTTTCATTTCTTTGTGCGTTTAATTTTCCTCCTAAAAAGCAGGCGTCCATCCCTATGAGATGCCGGTGCAGTATGCTACCTTATCCAGGGCGACAGGCCGCCCAAGCAGCCTGCATCTGTCCCGCTCAAAGAGCATCAGCAACTCCAACCCTGATCTGGCTAGCACACCAATTTCCCCAGATGAGGAAGTCCAAAGGATCATAGGAAGCAAGGTGAGTTAATATTCTCTATGTTGTGCTGAGAGTCTTTATTTTATGTTTTTATTGAACCACTGTGCTGCTCTTTACCTTTTTCTATGTTGATTTAATTATAGTGTCTTGACTTTTTACAGCAGCTTCATTAAACTCAAGTCGACTGAGAACTGTTCCAGTAATTAATTAATGCTTAATCATTACAATTGTGCTTCTTACTTTTGTCTTCTGTTTCTGTTGGCTCCTCCAGTTTTTCTTCCCTCCCTGCTTTTCCCCTTTATTCCCCCTTTGAGCTTAATTTTTGTTTCTTCCTGATTTTCAACCTGAAATAAAATCCTGTGTGATAATTAGCCTCCCTTTGCTCACTGTGTCCTTGCCTCTTGCCACTCTGTGTGTGTTTGTGTGTGTGTTTCTTCGGGTGCTTATGGCAGGGCATTGACCGCTCGCACTCCTGGGTAAACTCTGCTTATGCCCCTGGGGGCTCCAGATCTGTGCTACGCCGGAACCCCAACTCCAGCTGCGAGCTCAAGCAGGTGCCAAATCCTTCCTTCCTCCTCCTCATCTCCACCTTCATCGCTCACAGCCTCCGATCAGCTGCTCGTTTTTTTTCTTATCCAATTTCTCAGAGGTTCCTTTTGTCGCTGCATGGACTCATTTTCTGCAAATCTCATCCTACCTCTTTTTTTTAAAAACTACATTTCCTCAATCATTTCAAAAACATTTTCTCCTCGCTGTCCTAACAAGCGCCTAATTGCCAGAAGCTCATTGCGGAGCTTGTTAGATTTCCTTTCAGCCTCATCAGAGTTCGTAAAAAGAACTCCCTCCACCCGCCCGTTCTCATTCACCCATTTTCACGTCGCTGTCCTCATGTCTGTGTTCACCTCACCACCACCTGTCAGGCAAGCGACCACAGCTGCAATCGCATGTCTGCCTTTCTGGACAGTGTGGCCTTGTTAACTGTTCCCACCAGACCGATTACAAAGAAGGTAAAACAAAAGTGGCATCTAATGTAAACAGAACATTCACATTCTTCCCTAATCCATACCACATTTTTTGTATTTTTAAAATTTTATGATTTTTAGAGCGCACATTCTTTGCTTTTTCTTCTTATTTGTGTTTTAGATGTAGTGACATTTACAAAATATTAATATCTGACAAAAAAGTGAAAGCGACATCTCATTGTTTCCTCCTGTGAGCTAAAATATTAATATCTGCTGTGTTGGTTCACGTCTAGTTGCTCCATGAGGAGCTGGCGCTGCAGTGGGTGGTCAGCACCAGCGCAGTGAGGGATGCAACACTGCAGCAGGCTTGGTTTTTCTTCCAATTGATGGTCAGTCTTTCTGTGAATTTTCATTGGGCCATATAATTCTCGTGCATCCAAAGCAAATACAGTCAAATCACAACTTTTAAATCAGAAAAAAGCTGTTTTTGTTCTAAGAGTTCATTTCCTGTCCTTTCTTCAGACCAAGAGCATGGCTCATCACTTATTCCTGACCTCTAAACTGGATTCTCCCAGGCGACAGCGCTACCCAGACCGCTTTGTTGACGACATTGCAGCACTGGTGTGTGCCATCAGTGCAGACATTGCAGGCAGACATCACAAGGTAAATGTGTGCAATAAAGACATAACGATCTGCTGTCTGGGTTTTTAGTAACAGGAATTTTAGGAATGGCTTTGGGAGCTTTAGGTTTTCTTTTATATAGTCTATGGGCACCACATTCGTCTGACAGAACATTTTACATCATTTCATGCTTCCATTGTTTTCCTTAGTAAGGTCAAAAATAAGATCACACCAAACTTTAACACCTGTCGCTATTCCTTACTGTTGCAGTAATTCAGTGTATAAACTGTACATTAGGCTTAAAATTCTATGATAAAATTCTTTTTATTGGTCCAATATAACATATTTACATTTTCTGAAAGGGAATTTTGAATATTTTTGAGGGTATTTTTTGTTGCTTTAAGCCATATTCATCCAAAGTAAGCATCAAATGACTCACTCCATTTTTAATCTAAATGATTATTTCCAGCTTTTCAATTGAATTAGTGAAATAAATGAAAATGTTTTTGAAACTCACATTTATTGAAATGCGCCTGAAAACTCTCTTCTTGTAATTGATCCTCCTTCTCCCCGTGAAATCCCTCCCACCCTCTCAGGATGTGGAGGTTGTAGAGAGGCTGAACAACAGTCTGGCCTTCTTCCTTAATGATCTGCTGTCTCTGATGGACCGGGGTTTTGTCTTCAACCTCATTCGTTCCTACTACAAACAGGTTTCTATTGATCTCTTCATCATTTTCCCGTAGCTTCAGACGACCCAGTTCTGCTCTCGTTTTTCAACTTCTTGCGCTCAATTAATCTGTGTTTAACAGATCGCTAACAAGCTCCACACGACACAGAATCCCAGCTCTCTGAATGCCTTAAGGATGGACTTTATGCGTATTGTCTGCAGCCATGAGCATTATGTCACCCTCAACTTGCCCTGCTCAACTCTGAGCCCTCCAGCATCCCCCTCCCCTTCTACCTCATCCACCACTTCACAGGTACTCAAGTAGACTCCAAAGTGTAGATCTTTTTTATACTTTTACATTTATGAATCTCAGTTTTAAACATTTCTATTTTCTATTTACAAAATTGTATTCACAGAGTTTATATGATCTTATTAATATCTGTTTTGTTTGGCAGAGCTCAGCATTTTCAAGCATGGTGCAAGACCAGGGTGTGGCCACCATGTTTGAGCTGTCGGTCCCTTTCCGCCAGCAGCACTTCCTGTCTGGCCTGCTGCTCACTGAACTCGCTCTTATTCTTGATCCTGATGGTGAAGGGTAGGTTCTTCATATTTTCTATTATAGTGCCTTTCAAAAGTATTAATCCTCATAAGCATGTTCACATTTGTCACGTTACAACCTTGTACTTTTTTTGAGATATGTATTTTTATTCAGTCGCAGTGGCGCCACATTCAGTAAGGACTGAAACAAAGGTGGTTCATGAAGTCTTGTTGCCTGCAGGGTTTTCTTCCTTCATAAAAAGGCCATCAGTGCCGTTCACTCGCTGCTGTGCAGCCATGATGCGGACCCTCGTTACCAGGACCCTCAGGTTAGGGCGCATGTTGCTCAGCTCTACCTGCCCCTGCTGCCCATTGTCATGGAGGCGCTGCATCAGCTCCACGATTTCTGTGGTCAGTGGAATGTTTTGTACGCCATTTAAAAAAAAAAAAGAAAGAAAAAATATTTTATTTCTGAAACACGACATACCTAAGAGTCCTTTTCATCTTTTAGATTCCTCGCTTTCTCGCGCTCGCCTTTCCTCTGCCTACTTTGAAGACACCGACCCAGACAGTGGCAACATTATCAACCAGTCTGTTGCCATGGCGATCGCTGGCTCCCCTTTACCGCATGCCAAAGCCAACCCATTTACTCTCCCCTCTGTGGTAAGTGACAATGGCAAGGGTCAGCCTGCTCTCCTGGGCTGTACAGACTGACGGGTCGCAGGTCGACTGCTGCGTAGAAAGTCAGCTCCTTCACGCTCTATTTTTGTCCTTTTTCTTCCTTTCTGAAGCAGATCCCAAGATTTGCTCTTGAGTTTCTGTTTTTGTCTGTTCTCCACCAGGCCGGGCGCCAGACCAGCTCTCTGTCTGCCGAGTGCAGCCGGACTCTGCTGGTGTGCTTCCTGTGGGTACTGAAGAACGCAGACGCTTCCCTACTGGAGCGCTGGGTGTCGGACTTATCTGTCCTGCAGATCAACCGCTTGTTGGATCTACTTCATCTGTGTGTGTCCTGTTTTGAATACAAGGTAAAGTAATGAGGATAGATAACCTACTGCTGTGTGTAAGCATTTCATTGCTATTCATTTAACACACGGAAATTGAAATCTAATATATTTCTGCACCAGTTATCTGAGCCCTCACTGTCATAAATCCCTACATCCAATTTAAATACTTTTGAATAAGATGCTAGTGTTTATTCATTGGGCTATATTATTAATTGTAGGATTAAAACCATGGTATATAGCATCCTTTTTATTTATAAAACTGTAGCTTACCATTTGCTCTCACCGTTTGAAAAACAATATTAGAGCAGAGCTTAGAGGAACAACATGGGCAACTTCAACTTCCTTATGATAGCCAGAAAGTTTGGAATCAAAATTCAGAAACTCTATTTTCTTGTTGACACATTCAGATTGGTGTGTGAGACTATAACGTGGTGTGTTTTTGAGTGTACATTAACATAATCGTGATTCTGATTTATCCAAAAAGAACAAATTGTAAATGTGTAATTTTTATTAGGCTTATCTTACATTTTTTTCAATATTTATTAGATTGTTATTTTTGCCAGTTTTATGTACTCTCTAAATATATTTAGTTTTATGACCTTCTACTGTGCTGCTGACATTTTCTGACAAATTTTTCCTGCAGGGGAGGAAAGCGCTGGAAAGAATAAACAGCCTGACATTTAAAAAGTCTCAGGACATGAAAGCCCGACTGGAGGAAGCCATTCTGGGAACTATAGGGGCTCGTCAAGAGATGGTCCGCCGCTGCAGAGGTGAGGAGCGTGAGAATACGATGGTTCATGATTTGTCTACAGCTGTTAAAATCTCACACATTCATCTATTTTTTTGTTACCATAACAGAAAGGAGTCCTTATGGTAGCCAGGAAAATGTCAGGTGGAAAAAGAATGTCACCCACTGGAGACAAAATACAGACAGAGTTGACAAGTATGTTAATTACAATGTTGAAATTGGTATTGAGTTCTTCTCTGATGCTTTCCTATGTGAAAAACTAATGAATGCTGAATAAACTTACAGGAGTAAGGCTGAGATGGAGCAGGAGTCTGTGGTGGATGGAAACTTAGCTACTGAGGTGTCCCTCATAGTACTGGACACACTGGAAATTATAGTCAAGGTAACACTAAATGTTTTCTTTTTTTGTCATATTAAGGTGCCTTTTTATGTTTTTTAAGTTTCAGCATGTCGTGTCTCTGTCCTCCTTCAGACTGTGGTTGCTTCTGAACTGAAGGAGAGCGTTCTTGGTGGAGTCCTGCGAGTGATTCTTCACAGCATGGCAGGCAACCAGAGCGCCCTCTTTCTGCAGCATTGCTTTACTACACAGAGAGCACTGGTTTTCAAGGTGAGAAACTAGTGCCGTTCTTTTTAGGAATTAAACAACTTCAATAGAACACAAATGCATTCCTGCTTTTTTTTTTTATTTAGTCATTTATTTTAAGCGCATTAGATAATTTTCAATGCTTCAGCTTAGACCTCAGAGTTAGTAGTAAATTCAGTTAACTGAAATTGTATTTTTGAGTAGTTTCCAGAGATGCTGTTTGAAGAGGACACTGAGCTTTGCGCAGACCTTTGTTTGCGTCTCCTCCGTCACTGCAGCAGCAGCGTCGGCTCCGTCAGGAGCCAGGCCTCCGCCTCTCTTTATCTCCTCATGAGGCAGAACTTTGAGATCGGAAATGTAAGTTTAGCACTGTTTTAATTTATTCCCTTTCATTGTTCCTGTACCAACATCTCAGTTAAACGGAAATAGATATGCATTGCATGTGAAATATAATGTTATTTACAACTTACCTCTTTCTCTCCGGCGTTGCATCAGAACTTTGCGCGAGTGAAGATGCAGGTCACCATGTCTCTGTCCTCTTTGGTGGGAACATCACAGAACTTCAACGAAGAGCATCTTCGTCGGTCATTAAAGACGATTTTGACATATGCTGAGGAGGACCTAGAGCTGCGTGAAACGCCTTTCCCAGAGCAGGTAGTTTACACGTAACCCTCTTTTTAAATCAGTCTTCAAACTGAAAGGGTGTGATGATGAATGTTGGTGGGTGTTTTTCTTTTTTCAAAACTACAGGTTCAGGATCTGGTGTTCAACCTCCACATGATTCTTACCGACACTGTGAAAATGAAAGAGCATCAGGAGGATCCTGAAATGCTCATTGACCTGATGTACAGGTATTGGGGGGGGGGAAAAAAGAATGAGTTAAAAATGGTGAAGAAAAACAGAAGAAAAATCCTTCCTTTGTTTTCTGTTTTAGGATCGCCAAAGGCTACCAGAACTCGCCTGACCTGCGCCTCACATGGCTGCAGAATATGGCAGGAAAACACTCTGAGAGAGGGAACCACGCCGAGGCGGCCCACTGCCTCGTTCACAGCGCAGCGCTGGTGGCAGAGTATCTCAACATGCTGGAGGACTGCCGCTACCTGCCCATCGGTTGTGTAACATTTCAGGTGATCAGTTATGCTCTATAATGTACAGACAATGATTCAAGTTTTTAGATCTCTGGGTGTTTGTTGTATTTCAACCGCAAAATGTAATATGTCTTATTGGGATTTAATTTATCAGACCAAACAAAACACATAATTAGAAAGTTGAAGGCAAATGATCATGGATTTCAAATTTCCTAAAGATAAAATCTGAGGTGTGGTGCATGTTTGGACTAGTTTATACTTGGTTGAACCAACTTCTGCTATATTTGCTCTTTGAAGTGTTTTGGCGTGTTTCCTTACCAGATTTATATACCTTTAGATTTGTCTTTTGTTGTTTGCAGAAGAGCACAAACTCATTTTGGTTGGAGAGCATCTGTAAACATATATTTTCAAGCATCGTATCAGATTCTAACCTGGACTTCGGTCTAGATTTTGATTGGGCCATTCTAACACATTTATAGGCTTATTTCTAAGTTACCCTTCTATTTGTTACTGTATGTTTAAGTTTCTCTACTGCAAGGTGTCTCAAGTCTTTAGAGCTTCCAACAGGTTTTATTCCAGGACTGCCGTGTATTTAGTTCCTTTTTCATCCTCTGCTCATCTCTGACAGACTGTAAAACAAAAGTGTCCCATTTGTTTCTGTAGGGATTATTTGTAAAGGCTAATGTACAATAGTAGTTATAATTTATCCTAAGCTTTAATCAAACAACAACTCTACTTACTAGTGACTTCTAAAGGCAGCTGGATTTCTGAGTGACTCTTCTAATTTTCTCACAGAATATCTCCTCCAACGTGTTGGAGGAGTCAGCAGTTTCAGATGACGTTCTGTCCCCTGAGGAGGAAGGCATTTGTGCTGGGAAGTATTTCAGTGAGGCCGGCCTGGTGGGCCTCCTGGAGCAAGCAGCTGCCTCTTTTAACATGGTACGACTCACATTCTCTGGCTCCATGTCGACAGACTGCATGGGGTCAGACAGCTCGAGGTCACAGCACTGTATATTGAAATAGGCGTAGTTGATTAAGCCATATTAGTAGATGCGTGATGCGTTATCTTCTAACCACAGGCTGCCATGTATGCTATAAACGAAGTGTACAAGATTCTGTTACCCATCGAAGCCAACAGAGACTTCAAAAAGTTGGCAACTGTCCACGGGAAGCTGCAGGAGGCCTTCAACAAAGTCTACAACCCAGTTAGTTGACTTTCAGATTTTAAAAAAAATCCTCCAAACAATAAAAACGCACTTAATCCTTGTATCTTATGTTGTTTTCTTTTTCACTTCTCAATGTTTCTAGAGTTCAGGATGGGAGGTAACAAATTAATTTCAGTAACTAAATACAGTAATTTAAACATTGAACACGTAATTTTAAGTTTTTACTCTAACAGTCTTTTCCTTCTTCTTATAACTTGGTTTTGTGCTCCTGTGTGGACGCCACATTACTGGTGAGTGTGAGAATACTTTCATTATTTAACTTAGTGGAACTCTGGCTTTATCAGCTTTCAGATTGCATTCCTTTGTGCTTCATGGCCCTATCTCAAATGTCACGTCACTGCCTCTTCACTTTCATTTTGTTACTTTGCTTCTCCGTTTCAAAATGAATTGAATTATCCTAATGTTTTTGGGTTTTTTTGTATCCTGTCTGCAGTCATAGAGAATGTTTGGGACCTATTTCCGAGTTGGTTTCTATGGCTGCCACTTTGGAGATTTGGATGAGCAGGAGTTTGTCTACAAAGAGCCTTCAATCACCAAATTAGCTGAAATCTCCTACAGGCTTGAGGCAAGCTGATTTATCACTATCCTAATAAAAGTGTCACTAGAGATTTATGAGAAACTTCAAAATGAAACTTGTTGTTATGTAGGAGTTCTACTCAGAAAGATTTGAGGATGACGTGGTTGAAATTATCAAGGATTCTAGTCCAGTCGACAAAAGCAAACTGGATCCCAACAAGGTAGCCTAATATGTTTGTTTGTTATAAATAAAAAAGTTGATGTTTTTGAAATAAATGGCCTAATTCTTAGTTTTGCTTTTCCAGGCTTACCTCCAGATCACCTACGTCGAGCCTTACTTTGACACATACGAGTTGAAGGAAAGAATCACCTATTTTGACAAGAACTACAACCTACGAACCTTCATGTACTGCACTCCCTTCACTCTGGACGGCCGGGCACACGGCGACCTGCATGAGCAGTACAAGCGCAAAACGATCCTGACAACGTCTCATGCCTTCCCTTACATAAAGACACGCGTCAACGTCATCCACAAGGAGGAGGTGGATATCTGCAGGATAACCGAGAAGATGCTGCATTTTGCTACAACTGCTTCTATTAAGTTTTTTATTATTTCTCCAGATTATCCTTGTTCCAATAGAGGTGGCGATTGAAGACATGCAAAAGAAGACTCAGGAGCTCGCCTTTGCACAAATCAAGACCCGGCGGACGACCCTAAGATGCTTCAAATGGTGCTGCAACTGTGCGTGGGAACCACTGTCAACCAGGTGCCTGACTTTAAAAAAAGATTTCTAACTGTATTATGTTTAAAATGTCACAAAGCCAACTTCCTCTGAAGTAGTAAGCTGCTTTAAATCTGGCCTAAAGTCTGGTTCAGTCTTTAGACATTCCTCTGCCGATATGTAACGGTTTCTCCCCCTCACAGGGTCCCCTTGAGGTGGCGCAGGTCTTTCTCTCTGACATTCCAGAGGACCCAAAGCTGTTTCGCCATCACAACAAACTGCGGCTTTGCTTTAAAGACTTCACCAAGAGGTGACGACACGCTCTACACCTCAGACTCCAGACCACTGTGTAACCAAGAAAAATAAATCCCGCCCGTCGGCCTCTCCTCTGCTATTTGTGATGCAGGTGTGAGGACGCCCTGAGGAAGAATAAGAGCCTGATTGGGCCAGACCAGAGAGAGTATCACCGAGAGCTGGAGAGGAACTACCACAAACTAAAAGAAGCTCTGGGTCCTCTCATCACCCGCAAAATCCTCCAGCTGTACAGACCCCTGCCCGTGCAGACTGTGCAAACACAACGGTAATTTGAGAGTTTAACAGATGCGCGGGGGTTCACAGAATGAGCTCAGCTGCTTCTTGAACTGCAACAATGGAGCAACATGAAACCACATTTCATCACAATTGCAATGGCTTTGATTTCCTCACATTATTTTGTGCTACATTCACAAACGTTTGTGTATATTATTAGGATTTTATGTGTTAGATTAATACAAAGCAATGGAAGCAATGTTGTGAAGTAAAGAAACATATATTTCTAAAAGAATATTGTGTCAAAAGCAGCATTGAGATCTAACAAAACCAGAATAGATACCAGTCCATTATCTGAGGTCAAGAAAATATCATTTGTAACTTTCTCTGGGGCTATTTCAGTCGCCGTTGAACTCTGAAATCAGACTGAAACTCCTTAAATAGATCTTTACGCACTTGATTAGCAGCGTTTTCTCAAGAAATTTAGATATGAAAGATTAGGTGCAGATCTGTAGCTTAAATCATTCTGAATGAGATAAAAAAAAAACATTTAATGCAGTTTTAGTGCAGCAATTTTAAAGGCCTGTAGTATGCATCTGTTTACTAAGGGTTGATTTTTTTTTAAATAATTTGGTTGGGATTGTATCCAACACTCAAGTTAAAAGTTTAGAAGAATCTAATGCTTTTCTTAACTCAAAATGCTGAAATAAATCAAAACACTCCAAATGGAAATCAAGCTCTACATTTATCTCCAATGCTACCTCACTTTCAGAGGAAGAAGTAATTACATTTGGGAAGATGCCAATGATTTAATTGATTAAAAAAATCAGTTTAATTTTTTTTATTTATTCTGTTAATGATGAAAAAATGCTGTTCTATCTTTGCAAAGCGTATTTTCATACAAGCTAAATGAAATTGAAACTGGTGGTTGTAACATGAAGCATTCAAGAGGTGTAAGTATTGTTGCAAGAATTCAAAGATTTTTATGAAGGTGGCACAAATGTAATTTTTTTTTTAAAGAGAAAAGGATACATTAAAGCCCAAACTGAGTCAGTTTTCTTGGATGTGAAATAAAAATAAAAGTAGGCAGTTGAAAACATTTATGCAACATTACCTTTGTTTAAATTGTTTAAATGAGACCAAAATTACTTGAAGACTGTTAAATAAAAGTTTGCCTCCATTTAGCCTAATTTCATTACTTCCTTGTCTGTGTTTCAGGAATTCCTATGGCAGATCGAGTTTTCGCAAAATTGACTGATGAGGCGCAGAAAACTGGACAGCAACTCAAAGCAACAAGTTGTAGAAACGAGCACCATCTTCTCCCATCTGTCCTTCCCTCCCTCCCCCACCCTGTTGTGCGCCAACTATCACCATACACACGCAATCATTGCTCATCTTGGTTGTTATTTTATCCCCATCCATATGCTCGTTCCTTAACCCCCTTCTCCCAGTATAACACCACTTCTGCTACCATCCACACACTGAAAGATGTCACCTCTTTTTCCCTTCTGTACCATCCTCCCCCTCCGCCATCACTACAGGCTCACACCACTGTAGGAAAAAATCTCGTGTGTTTATACTTGAAGGTTATCTGCTTAGTAAACATTGTCATTTGGTGTGAGGTTCTTTAAGAGGTCTGCGTTTAAAGAAAGCTGTCTAAAGTAATCTCCCAGACCCAAAGTAATCTGTCTGAGCTGATCTGGCTCTAGTGGTTCTACCAAACATTATGTTTCTGAGTTGCTTAAGGTTTCTCGGTTTTGCTTTAGAGAGAGTGTCAGTGGGCTGCCTTTTGTCAGGCCTTTTTTTAAAATTTGCTAGGTTATTCTAATCCAGCTCTGTTAGTAGTCACTGCCAAAGTTTTAAACAAAAAAAAAAAGTCACCTCACTGTGAGTTTTCTTTTGTTGTATGTGGACCACATGATTTACATTCCTTCGTCCTCAAGTTGTCACTTATATCAGCTCATCTCGCTCTAAGAATTTAGTATAGAGACCTGCTGGGCTTGTTCCATGCAAGCTCAGGCCCCACTTCTAGTAAAAAAAAAAAAAAAAGTCCAAATGTGATTTTTTTTTTTTTCTTTTAACTGTGAATTCCTCTGTACGGAAGTCATATGCGATGTTTTATCACAGAAGCTCTGCCTCTAGTTGAATCATCTCCTTTATCTACACAAATATGTTCAGACTGTTGCATCTACTGTCAAACTGCAGTGTGATAACTGAATAAGCTTTACCTGTGTGGGCAAGCCCCCTTTAGACTTTGGGATCTGCTGTTAGAAAGTGCTCTGTGCTCTTATGCGTTCATCATTACTTACTAAATATGTTTTTTTGTTAATTATTATTATTTTGTAGACATTTATTACTACTGTATCTTTAAAATTGCACTATTGTAAACAACCTGGGCACATAAACTGTTATAACCAAACAAGCTTTGCTTTTATTTACAACTGCTTTTTTACCGGGTAGTTTTGTATTTATTTAGTCTGTATTCTATTAAATATTTCTTTCTTCAAACCGCTTAGCATTTCTTTTTGGGGTTGGGGAGGTGGGTTGAACAATTTGGGGCTCATAAATATTTTTGATGGATTAAATATTTACCATTCAGTCCAACTTTTTCACTATGTGTCCTGTCCTAGCAGCTCAGAAACAGTGTGGTAGGTCAGGTTCCTATACAGTGTCAGCGAGACACTGCTAAAGGGGAGGAAGTATTTTTATTTTTTTATTTTTTTTTTCCCCATGTTGTTTAATTATCAAGTTCTGGTGGCAAACTGGAAAGGCTATGGAAAAGGATATGGAGAGAGAAAGAAAAAAATAGTGGGATAAACACTGGGAATTACACCAACAATGACAAAAATAAGAAGCCAAAAAGACGGTAAAAAAGGCTTCTACTATTTTAAAACAGCCTTGAAAATGTAATTGTACTAAGTGTAATTTAAAAATATATATAATGCGGTATGAAGAGAGCCGCTTTGCAAGTCCACTTTTTTGGACTTGTTCTGAAAAGTTTCCCCTATTGTCTCTGGCACCTATGTGAGACAAGATATGGGCTTATTCTTTTTTATTTTATTCATTTATTTATCGTTGCTTTGCAATAGTTATAACAGGTGTATGACTTGTAATATTATAAATTGTTTTTTCTACCCTCAATGTTTATTTTTGTTTTAAATCAATTTAAAAGGAGCAGTATTGTGCATTTTCCAGGCATATGGATTGGAGTAATTGTTACCGTCAGTCTTTATGAAAAAAGCCATATATCTCAAAAATGACTTAAAAGAAATATATGTATATAATAATATATAATGTAATGCTTTGAAATTAGACCTCTGTCTCTTTAAACCCTTTTAAAACACCACCTTCATTTAACAATGTTTTTTTTTTTCAGCATTGCACTGAGAAATAGCTGGTCTAATGAGCTCAGCAGTTGCCAGTTCCGTCAGGTGTTTGCTAATTGTTGTTGGCTAGTCTGAAGGAGCTGAGAGGGGGAGTCTTGGGGAAGGGCTGCCCTGTGAGGGCATGTTGGAAGCTGCTGCTCTGAGAGGGAGCCTCAAAGGTGGCGCTTGGTCCCCCAAGGCGTTTTACAACAGCTGAATGGCTGCCACCAATTAAATTCTCAAACTAACAAGAAAACCAACATTGCAGGTTTGTTTTTGATTAGGAGATAACAATATAGAATATTTTAACGCTCAAAATAGTCGATTTTACATCATTTGAAGCGGTTGAATGTGTTTGTATTGTTTTATTTTTCATATTTCCAACCTGTCAGGTCGTCTTACAGTTAATGACCAAAGCCTGCGCCTGTCCTGGGGGCTGCTGGCCCTTTAAGAGGAGCAGCAGCAGGGAGGGGAGGGGAGGAGGAGGGTCGGAGCATCTCGGCTGCAGTGTTTTTGTCTCACTGAGCGCTCCTGGGCCGAGAAGACTGAAAGGATTTCCAGAGAGGGGCCAGGTAAGCGCTGTGAATAAGTTTCATTTCCCCCGTTTGAATCATTGCTTCGCGTCTCTTTTCCGAAACGTTTTGAGGCACTTCAGACAACGCGCCTTTTGGAGACTTTCTTTGTGAAGCGTCGCCTCTGCCCATTCCGCGGGGGGCTTTTCTGTGAAGTAACGGGCTATAAATGTACTGAAACACGCGCAAATGCAACGCTACGTTTGAATTAATTAGCAGAATTGAGACCAGGTGGGTTTTTCTCGTTTTGCATCTTCGTTTCTGTTTTACATTCAGAGGAATTTGAGACGGAGCCTCGGAGTCGTTTGCCCCGTTTTTTGTTTGTTTGGAGTATTATCTGACGCGCCGCAAAATCTAACCCAAAAATATGTTTAATAATCCCTACTTCACCGAAAAATCAAATTCCCTTAGGGATGCGTCTGTCATTTTAAAGAGAATGATTTATTTCATTTGGTTGAATTTTACTGCGTTTTTCTCCAGCAGCCCAAATTTATGGTCTGTTTGGATATTTTGGATGAAGGCTCATTTTGCAAGGACTTTTCCTCACAGCCCAAACCTCCGCTTAAATGACTGAAGCTGTTTCAAACGTTGTGAAAACTAAATAACGAAGAAATTTGACGCCTCTATATTTGACAATATTTTATCTCTCCGGCCAGTTTTTGTTGTTGTTGTTTGTTTTCCACAGTAGAGAAGCTATAGAAAGGATTGCACAACTTTTCTCTTGCCAAAAGCCAGTGAAGGGTTTCAAAATTTTAAATTCATTAGGAGATTAAAGCCAGTCAATTGTCTGGAGTACTCTGGGGAGAGGGTGGGTCCAGGCATCCCTGACTTCATGACTTCCAGATGTGTTTCCCCCCTTCCTTACTTTTTGCTCTCAGATTTGCTGGTCGGCAGACTCTGCCACTAGGATGAGGTTTTATGGATGAAGCAGAACAGGTGGAGTGTAAAATACCCCAACTTGACTGCATTTATATGAATATAGTTCTGAATTTTCTCATGAAGCACTCTGGTGACTCCACTTATCAATTAACTCCCATCAGCTTGACAGATATAATCAACGATTTCCTAGGGAAATCCTCAAATAGTAAATGATTGTATTATTTCCAAAGCTGTTGACTTCCTGGCCCTTACATGACTTGACACTCCAGAGTGGGAGATGTGTGGCATTTTTTTTCAGATTCGTCAGAAAACACATCAGATGTTGTTATTGTGGAGGACATGAAGGTCTTGGCAGGATGTGGGGGAGTAGTCATTGGCCTGTTACACTTCATCACAGTACTCCACTGTTCGCTGTTGTATAATGACTTACTGACTGTATGTAATCATATAACAGGGAATAGCTTGTGGCAGCTGCATGGCATTTAGACTTGGGCTCTGACTTCACTTTTGGCTTGTCACATGGAAAGAGAAGTTGTGTACGTCTTACTAGTGAACCCCATTAAGCCGATTTCATTTTGCTTGCAGTGAAGGCTGAAAGTTCTGCGGGTCTTGAAAGCTGGAGAAACGTTTTCTATCTCTGACTTGTTAAAGTCACAATCTGAGAATGTTTTGGTCAGGTCCGGAGTTTCCCCTCACCAGGTTTAGGAATGTGGCTGTCTCATTAAAGCGTTCGGGCCCAGGGGTGCTGCGGTGGAATGCAGCGCTGTAAACCCCATTTGCACACCAGGCCACACGCCGGGCATTTAAATGCTTTGCTGAGACTAATGAAATTACAACTCCAGGGTGGGTTTGTCACTGTCTTGTGGCTTTATTACAGATTAACTTCTCCAAGTTTTATGGAATGCCCTGCTTTTTAATGTTTTGTTTCAGTCCAAAATAAATAGATAAAAACAATTTTAAAAATTTGGCCAAACTTTACTGGAAAACTTCAAACGTTTCTCTAAATTAAGTTGAAGCTCAGTTGACGATGTTGATTTCAGCCACTCTAATGACTTTCTTTCTTACTTGAAGCTCAAAATACAAAAGTGTACATTTATATGTTGTATTCATATAATGTGCTTTTTTTTCAACAGGAGCTTTTCTTTCTAAGTTTTAAGGACTGGATTGTTTATAAACTAAGGGAAACTCATGCGACTCTGTAAAGCCGGCTGCAGAAACGTCTGCAAAGATGATACCCCAGCACAACATAGATAATTAACGATACCAGTGGAGAGATGCTCATTGTGAACATATGGTCTAAATCTTGGTTTCATGTCCTGGAAAAAGTACTTATCTTCTCGAATAATCTGACTGATCTCACCTAATACCCTGATGACTCAGAAAGCCAGTTGACTCCTCTGTCCACTAAATGGCTTAAATATGTTGGTATAATTGGCATGGAGGATGTTTTGCTGTCCTTATTCTTGCAGAGCATTTCTTTTGGAACCAGGAGGTAATTGATAAGATTCATGAGGGGAAACAACTTAACCAAACCACAGTAACATTGCGTCTTATTTTGCTACACACACACCGACATGATCTTTTAACCCTAACTTTGCTCTGACCACCTCGTCTCATTTCCGTCTGGAGTTTGTCGTTCTCCACCTCCAAAAGACCTCTGCAACCTTCTTCACTGCCCCCCCTCCCCACTTCTGCAACTTGCTCAGGAATCTTCTCCAAAAGATTTTTTTTCTTTTTTTTTCTTTTAGTGTGTATCTTTTTTCCGGTGCTGCTCCTTGCCGCTCGGCCCCACCCTTGCGCAGTTTCCTGTTGGAGGTCAGCACAATGACCAATAAGCTAGACCGGCGGGTATTTATTCTGCTCCTGTTCCAGGAGTAATGTGAGCTGGACAGCCCCTCCTTTTGGCTTTGCTCTGCAGCCGCCACCAAAGACTTCAGCCCCAGTTACTGTCTGCTCCTCCACATCACTGTTTAATGTGAAAAACAGGCCTTTAAGGTTTTTTTGTTCTTTTCTTTTTCTTAAATGGACATCCCTTTAGGTTAGGATTTCACTGTCCCAAATTTCA